GTTCATTCTGACTGGGCAGAGCTGCATTAAAACAAACGTAGACTGGGTTTGCATGATAGGGTGTCAGTGTGTTGGACAGGCAGTTGTAGTGAATTATAATGTACTGTATTGTGTTCCCATCTCACTTGGTAAATACAGCGTCAACTATATGATATTATCTCCCAGGTTATAATAAACTGAAATCATCTAACTATTCCAGTGTAAATGGTCACAATTAATTAGTTCAATGAGAAACAAAGAGCAGGTTGGATACAGGTCTACAGGCTAAAACCGCCGGATCAAGATGAGGTTTAGATACAGTGACAATAAAAACCTGCAGTATGTAAGCTGTTAATAAGAAATTAATTAGATCTAATATGGAAGTAGAGGCACAAACTTCTTGAGCAGTTAACAGACATGTTGATAGGTTGAAGCAACTGTTGATGTCAGCTCAGAGATCTACAGGACATAAAGTATAAATCAGATATCATGTTTCTAAAGCTATACTACATGATGGGGACGATCTTTTTTTCTCCAATTGCTGCAATTTTATTCATAAAGAAGCTCATGAAGTCATTACTGCGGAGATGTCAATGATCACGAGGCTGTGATTCTGTCAGTCAGGCTACAGGGCTGAACAGGAACCTGGGATTGTTCTTGTTGTTCTCTAATAATGACAAATAATCTGCAGCTTTGGTGTTACATCCACATTAAAATCTAATCACAACACAGAAAACAAAATGAAGAGGTTTTAAAATCTCTGCCAGACGATCATCTGTCCCTGCTTCAGCTGGTTTAGAGACGGTCGGACGTCACAGTGAAAAACGATTCTTTCATTTAATAAACCTGAAAATTTGTCCTTTTAGAACATTTTTTTCCCCCCATTTTGACATGATGAATGTGAACACAGAACAGCTGAATGTGGACTGTGCTTCATGCTGTTTCTCTTTTTGTTGAGGTATTTTAAATCTTCCACAGTTGACCAGTAAAAGGTACAGGTCACCATGAATTTTCCATCTGTTGTACTTGTGATTCTGACCCTGAAAAGTCAATGCAACCCGGCCCGGAGCACATCACAGCCTGCTAGACCACTGAACCTCTTTGTCTTGTTTTGCCCCCAGATACTGGAGGACACCTGGGTCATCCTGGATGATAAGCATTTCAGCAGATTCACAGAAACGCTGGGCTTCAGGGACGGCCGGATCGAGCGCTCCGTGTTCCAAGCGAAGTACGAGGGTGAGAAATACGAGCGGCAGCCAGAACATCTTGACCAGCGGCATCAGCAATCCCATCAGTTCTGCATGGCAGGGTTTTCAATGCTTAAATAGAGATTTTAAAAATCCCTTCCTACTCCCCACCAGGCTCCTGTCCCCTTCCACTCCATCTTGCCTTGCATCCCGACTCCTACCCCACCCACGGTGATCAAACATAAGCCCCCTGCTTCCTGTGAAATTATGTCTTTCTTAGCACATGAGCCATTGGAGAAATCATCCTGGATTATAAATAGAGTAAGAGTGAGCCTCTTCGTCTCTCATTAGCAGAGCGGAGCAGCACACAGATTCAGAATCGCACTCATTTCTGCTTGTTTGGGCTAATTATGTGCTTTGGAAGCAGAAAACAGAGCAGCAGGGCATCGCTCTAATTTGTATCCTCTACAAAAAAATAAAAAAGAGACGCAGTCGAGAGAACAACAAAAAAATAAATAAATAGAAAAAGCATAAAACAAAGGCAGGACACAAAGTTGGTCGTGTTTGTGGGGCATAAAAATTGAATTTTCTAGATTTAGAATACAAGTGTGCTTCTAATTAAATGTAAATTAGGTCAGGCAGTTAAATGCCCAGTGTGGCTGCCAGACATGAAGGGCATGCTGTGGAGTGTGGCAAAACACAAATGACTCACAAAATGGAACAAAAATCCCAATTTGTCGAGTTTAATTCCCTCACAAAGAGGGAACAGGTTAATTGTGTGTCTGATTAACAGGGCAAATATCAAACCTCTCCTGATATGACAGCTGTTTCTGCCCCGTGGTTCCTACAGAGGCCACAGCCGGAGACCACCTGCAGGGCTCCAAGCTGAACCCCGTCCTCACCTCTGCTGAGCAGTGCCTGGCCGCCATGAAGACCAGGATCATGAGCGTCCACAGGGTGGGTGAATGATGCGAACTTTACAGCTAAGATGATAACACTATGATTTCATTCATGTTTGGCCTGTGTGTGGGAGAAGAGAGGACATGAGGGAGAGAGATGACAAGATCCTTGGACAGTCATTTTAGTTGTAATTGGAATTCTGTTCCTGTTCGCCTCTCCTGTGTGCGAACCAGAAAACATCCCCAAGCACCACAGATCAACAGGAAACCATGCAAGCATTTATGTGATCACGAAGACTGAAGCGGATGCTGGACGTTTGTCATGTAACTCAGCTCTGACTTCATTACTCTGTCTGCAGCATTTTGCTATTTTTCGGCAGTAGGAGTTGATGTAGAGGCTGGACTGAGGTAAGAGGAATGCAATGACATGCAACAACAGCCCCCGAAACCTTCAGAAAGCCCCCACATGGTATCAGCTTCTTGTCAGGCTGCTGCACAGACTTTTTTTTCCCCAGAAATTATTGGAGTTTTAAATATTTTTAGGTTCACTTAAGTAAGCCTAACTACCTTTACAGGGAAATTACGTAATGTTACTGACTGGGAGTGGAATTTCTGCATTCATTCAGTTCTCTGAACAAATACAGAACAACAGGCGTTCGTTTGCAGAGCTGATTAATTAACTAATCGTAACAGATTTATTTATGAGTGCTTATTTATCAATAAAAATAGAATAAAGCTGTGTTTTTAAGAAAATTGCTAAATTCTTAGTCCCAGTATTTAGTTGTGTTTATTTGCAATAATAATCCCAAAGACAGTTCTTTATTTTTTAGTCTGAAAAGTGTCCTTGTGGTCTGACTCCTCTTTAAACTCACTCCTTCTCTGTAGAACTGCAACACAGACATAACAAGCTCAAAATATAATTTGATGAATGTAGTAAAAAAAAAAAACTATTTGTACACATTCTAATAAATGTTAAAAAAATATATTTATGGCATTGCACAAACTTGAATGGTAACATTTCCATCCAAATAACAACAACAACAACAACAAAGAAATGCATCCACTATCCAGTATTATTAGGAGGCTCAACAACAGACTGTGACTATGGAAATGTGGTCTTTGAAGAAACATGTACAGATTCCTTTTTTTAAGGGAGCTAAAAGTGATGGATGTAATTTCACAACAGTGAGCGTCGCAGAGTTAATCAGCACAAGTGATTCTGCTCCTTGAATTGAACAACCCTGTTCTGATCCATTTTCTATCTGACGGTTCTGTCTAAACCCCGAGTCTTCATTCTCTACATGTCTGCTTCCTGAGCTCTGCTCTGAGCACCAAAGTCAGCAGGTGTGTGTTTTGTGTGTGTCTGCTGGGCTGTGCACAGGAGGCAGGGCTAAAGTCAGCACATACTTTATATGACACTTCCATTCTCAGTGCAGTTGTGCTTATTTACATGTTTTCCTGATAGAATGGTAAAAGATCCAGATTAATGACAGAAGCTATGCTGTGAGATCAGCTCTATTGACATTTTAAAATGAGCGATGAGATGATTGGACTGTCCGTCTACGCTCCATCACCCAGCTGTAGCGTTGCATGGTTCTTGCATCACGCTTCACATTTGTGTGCATGGCTGCATACCTGCAACTCACAGTGATTGCGTAATAGTTACAAGTGTGCAGACCTGGCCTCCCCAAAGAAAACTTTCAGAAACATGGAGGCAACTGGAAAGACAAGAAGAAGAGCAAAGAAGCAAACGGACACAATGACACAATGCTGGACTGCAAACCTGGAAACCACTGCATGCAGCCGCTGTGTTTGAACAGACGTCACATGGAGTCTTCAGGTGTGCTCACTGTGTCCACATCAGCAACTACAGCACCAGAGAGCAAAGGACAGGTCCTTAAACATGTTGTTGAACCTTTTACAGAGTTATTAAAGTTGTTCTAGTCCTGACATTAGACTGTTTATAGTAATGTAGTATGTTGGTTTGTATCCTGAAGTTTTGAAGCTTTCAGTTTGGAATTAAGTCGTCACCGTCTTGGTCGTTTAAAACTAGTGAAGTCAAGATCTGACTGAGAAGCTCAGGACAATACGTATTATGATACAACAGTGTCCTGTCAGTCACAAGATGGTCCTACCCTAAAACACACATTACTTTATTGTCTATTGTGCTCTAAATGTGACCATAATGCACAAAATGAAAACCACAGCGTATTTAAAAAACGTGGAAACTAGAGATTGAAAACACAAACTCAACAGGATGATGTTTAAACATTCGTCTGAGGGAACACATCAAGTGAGACGTAGGATCATGTTCTCAAAGACCTCTATTCAGTCAGAGGCGTCCCCCCTGCTCCCCTGCTGGCTGAATCCATGCTTTAAGTGTTTCTGCATTAGTCGTACTCACTGAGTGTAAGCTACAGGTAGAAACCTGTCACTGGCCAGGCATCGTCTAATCTCTCTCTTCCCCTGATACTAAAACAATTCTCCTGTCACTATTTTCAGCACATCGCAGCGTAGCTAAGAAGATTGTGATTGGTTTAAATGAATACAACCAATCCAGAGCATATGAAGGTGTGGACATTCTGCAGCCTGGTCTGTCTATGAGAATGCTTCTGCCTTGGTTTTACTTTCCAGTCTTGTGGTGCTGACAGAGGACGTGTCTGCAGCTTCAGTGGACAACACATACCAGTAGCCATAGATGCCATAAACCAAGACTGAACTGAAATCATGTGTCTGTGAAGTTTTAGGCTCTATGAACATGTGACCAAAAACAAGCAATCTATCGGTGAATAAATGTCTTCCTGCTCTGACAGTCCAGTCTGTTCCCATCAGGACAACCTGACGGCGTTCCGGCTGATGGACAGGAGGCGTAAAGGTGTGGTCGACTGCCACGGTTTTAAAGCTCTGTACGACAGCCTGGGGTTCTTCTGCAGTCAGGATGAGTACCAGCGGCTGCTGGGTCTGATCGGCCTGCATCCTGGAAACAACCTCAACTACGCAGAATTTGTCAGTGTTGTTGAAAATGGTGGCAAACGACAGACACAAGCAGCGAGTGTGTGAGTGTGACAAACCAGCCATCAGTGGTATTTTAGAGGGACGCTGGCTCCATAGGAGGTTCCCATGTTTGTTTTCTTGTCTCTGCTGACAGACAGCAGCAGCTCCATGAACTTCTGGCCTGTGAAGCACGGTCCAAGTGGGCAGACATGTCTAAGGTCAGAATACATTTGCAGAAAGCATACATTAAAACATCCTCTGCAACACGACAAAGATCTGCTCCTGTCCGCCTCATCAGGTGCTCTGTCAGTTTGACCAAGACGGCCAGGGTCGGATCTATAAAAAGAGCTTAAGGGGACTCCTCTTCACCTACGCTCTTCCCATGAAATCCAACGAGTTTGAAGAGTTTTGGTCGAGGTAAGAGACATCACAGTCTCTGCACTGTCCAGTGAAGAACTCCTCTTTGTCCTAATGACACTCTTTAACTTCAGGTATGACCAAGAGGGGCGGGGCTCTGTAGAAGTCTGTGACTTTCTGGATAGGCTGTGTCTTCATCATGATGAGGAACTGAGGTCTGAGAGCCTGAAGCTGAACCAAACTGTTGTCCAGCAGGATGCTGACAAGCCAGTGTCCTCTGAAGCCACCTCGCTGGAGCATATAGAGTAAGTGATGAAGGATACTGTGAGCAGTCTTCTATAATCCATCCATCCATTGATGCTGATGCTGCAGGCAGCTCAAACATCCTTCTTCCAAGCTACATCCTCCAGCTCTTCCTGTGGGATCCTGAGGCTTTCCCAGTCCATGTAAGATATGTCATCCCTCCAGCATGGTCTTGATCTGTCCCTCAGTCTCCCTCCACAGTTGCACATGACTTGAATACCACATCAGGGCATCATGACAACATCCTGTGTGATCCAAACTACGTCTACAGTTCTACCCTGAGCGTCTTCTAACGTCCTTATCCTAGCTGTTAGAGAAAGGACAGGAAGTTCTCTTTTGTCTCCTAATATACTCCAAATCTATGCGTAAGGTTGAAAAGTCAACATTCAGAAACAGTGTTTGCTGATCTACCAGCTCTGTGTAAGCCTCAGCTGTGAAGAAGACCCCAAGATACCGGAGCTGGAGTTCTGCATGAGGCTCATATCTGCACTTTTAAAAGAGTTCTCGTCTGATTTAACTTGCAGGGTAATTTTATTTCAAAGCTCTTTTTAAAAAAGAAACAAACAAGACATACAGTGTACTGTCTATTTCATGTGAGCAGACTAAACAATATGAAAACATAATTAAATTACATGTCAAAGTGTTGTGATTAAAGGCAGCCACAGAAACAAATGTACACAGTCGTGCTTTCACTTATTCTGAAGTGATTTATTCCCTCATTCACACTGGAAATCCAGACTAACAGACGTCTGTGACAGATACAGTCGTATCTTACGGGTCATCCACGGTGTTGTAGACGGGCAGGAGATCCGGTGTGTAGGCTGTATGGACTGACATTTACAGATTTCTGTTTCTTGTCTCATCTCCATCGTGTCAATGCCTTCCAACGGTACAAATGTTGCTGCTTTGTTCTCCTGCACTGCTATTTAACCCCAGGGGGGGTTTGGATAAATCAGAGCCTGTTGCAGACGCGTTTGGTACATGCTGTGACTATTATTGAGCAATCATTCATTTTTTTTCATAAATGTTGTGAATGTCATGCACCACGGCTGATTAATTTTCACTAAGTGTTCATTAACAGTGCAAACATTAAATTTAATATAAAAGCATCTTTGTTCAAATGATTAGGAAACGTGTGACTGAGAGCGCACAAGCCAGGATCTGCGCTGCTGTTTTCATATGTTTCCTGATGATGTTAAAGGAATTCAAGACACACATATTGCAAATTACTCAGTCAGACCAGAGAGACTTTTGGTTTGGAAGCACAACAGCTTATGTTTTTCGTTCAGGAACTGCTTTTCCCATAAGTCCTTGCTGCTCTGTTCACAGGCAGGTTGTGCATGAGAACTACAGGAAGCTGAGCGACGAGCTGACTCGACTGGGAACCCAGAGAGACGGAACAGTGACGGTGGAGGAGCTGCTGAGCCTGTTACACGCCTGCAGCTGCTGCATTCAGAGAGAGCAGCTCGTAGATCACCTGCACAGGTCCACCGCCACTTTGAGGTTCTCTACAGAGACATGTATCAGCAGGGATGCTAAAGACCGGCTCACAAAGGCCACAGAGAATCTTAATAGATTACCGTGTGGACCTAAATTGAAGAGCTGACTGCGCCACTCTCAGACCTTTTAAACATTTACCGTCTTTGATTTGAAAAGTGGTGGCAGGAGAAAAAGAGAAGTTTGACAGATATAGTTTTGACTAAGTAGTGTAAAGAAAAGCAAACGGTGACTGAAAACAGAAGTAAGAGTGAGAGAGACACCACTCTGGACTCCAACCTCACTGTCCTGGATGAAGGTCCAGTGGTTCACGCAGCCTCCACACATCCAGCCACCATCCACGTCATGTGACTCACATGAAGCAGATGCAGGCCAACAGAAAAGAGTAGAGATAAAAAATGCAGACATCTTACAAATGTACAGCCTGTATTGTCAAACTAGCACATGGACATTTTGGTACAAGGACAGTGTAATTCCTCCATATCAAGTATGAACAGGAGGGATGACTAGAGCAATAAAACCTGTCCTGGTGTTCATATCGCCGCCCTGTTAGCTGAAAACTCTTTGTTCATCAGACCAGACTGAGTTCTGAAAACCTCCAAGTTTTAAAAAGCAAAATCTGAAATTCACTACTTGTAATTTTAAATCGGAGAGAAAAAAAAGAGTTTCATAATGATCAGCTACTGAAGCTAATGCTATGGAAGCTCTTCTAAAAACCACAAGCGCATCCATTTTAGTCCTCGCAGCACGAAGCCGCCTCCTTTCAGGCGTTTGTGCTGGATGTGGGTTGGTGGGACCACTGGGTGAGTTCAGGACCACTGACACAGAGCTTCACGTAAATCAGCAAGTGAAAAAAATCTAAACAGCCTGAAATTCATATTAAACTTGCACCAGATATGACATCATACAGTAGACTGAAAACAAAGCAAGAACAATGTATGAAATGTAATTTTTAAAAAACTTCAAAGACCTTTTAAACAGGACAGTGTTGACCTGATGAACTACAGGGTCAATAAATTCTTAAATAATATGTTGTGCATCATCACAGAGATCTACAGTGACTCCCTGAGGACAGGAGCTGGATGTGATGATTCATGACTCCTTGAAGGTTTAATCTGTCATTCATGCAGCAGCTTTGTCGCTGTGATAACATCACAGGAGGTGTTTGCGGTCTGATATTTCTCTGCCCTCTTCGACTATCCTGACTGTTTGAACCAGGACAGATAGAAACACTTTGGAGGGGACTGATGTTAAAACATGGCGACTAAACTTTGATTTCCTCAGCAATAGAAAAGGTTTTTGGCTGTGATCCACTGAGTTTTACAAACACTTCGGACGTACATCTTTTACAAGGCAGTGCCACATAAAGCTGCATTATTTATGAGCTGTTCGTTGGGCCGAGTGCAGTTCAGCTGTGGGACGGATAGAAGATGAGGCACGTTTACATGTGAAGGCCTAAATTAACAGAAGAACCACAAACACAGAAGGAGGTGGACCGAACGGAACACAGAGAAACAAACTCTCTAGTTTTTCACGTGTGTTGGCTGGGCTCAGGTAGTAGGCATATAAAATTCAACTGATAACTTTACAAAGTTACTTTAACTTGAATCCATGGCTGGGAGACAGTAAAGCAAATTCATGAAGTCGCCGTTTAAAAAGAAAAAAGTTTCCCATCTTTTTGCCCATGTTTGCATGAGTTTTTAGATGCACTGTTATAAACCTGGGGTCCGTTTCACAAAGCAGGTTTGAGTCTGTTAACCCTGAAATGAAGGAGCGTTCCCTCCCCCTGGACAACAACACCCTGCATCAGGAGAACAGCTGTGAAGAAAGAATCAACAAAGATCTAGAATATATGATCTAATTTTTTTTAGGGCATCACACTTTATACAAGCCTTTAAATCTTGGTTACAGCTCAGTGAAACCTTTTTTTTTAAATTAATTTCAAGCTGTCAAGCAGTGAGTTTTATCCTGACATTCATTCTCTGCTCTTCAGGCTCAGGGTTTCCATGGATGATAGCTGCAGGAGGCTTTCTTACCTGGACTTTCTGTCTGCATTTGACCGTAAAGCAGAGGAGTGTGAGCGTCCTCCTGCCTCCCCTGATGCTGTGCACCACATGGAGTCTCTGGACAGCCTCAGTCCAAACATGGCTCTGGTCAGGATGCGAGAACTGGTCTCTGTCTCAGCGCCTAATTTATATAAGGTGAAGCCTCCGAACCAGACGCTTCATTATTCTGTCACCGGCCTCTCTTTCAGCTTGTCGTCATTCTGTGGCTCTTCCAGGCATTCTCAGCTTTCGACCGGAGTGGAACCGGGGCGGTCAGAGCTCTGGACTTTCGTCAGGTGCTGGAGAACTTTTGTGCTCGACTGTCTGATAAACAGTACAGATACATGCTGACCAAACTGGAGCTGGATGCCGACACCTGCACGGTTCACTGGAAGGATTTCCTCAACAAGTTCCAGTTGCAGAGCCCACAGGTGAAAGAGAGAGTTCAGCATTTTGATGTTAGTTTGTTCCCTATGAAGCTGAGGGTGGGACGTTTGTAGCATAGCTTAGCATAAAGACTAGAAGCTGGAGAAACAGCTATCCTGGTTTAATGCACATATGATATGGTTGAGCTTGTTTAAGTGAAACCATAAGACCAGAAAAAAAAAGTAGAAGCACATACACATTTCAGAGACAAGTTACCTGTGACTCCAAATGTACATCTCAACTGGCAAAAAAAAGAAATAATCTCCTGCCATGTGGAAGTGAAATGCTGAAAACTGCTGAGAAAACAGATTTTATCATCTACATCATATACCAGTTTACTTCTCATTATGGTTGATTTAATTCAGCAGATACTGAGCCATGTTTCATAGCAACAGCCAGTAAGGCACATGGGTGTTGTAGTTTTTTTTTTCATGCTAGAACGCTCGATAAGACGTGATTTCTCAGAAACGAAGATGAAATAACCAACATTGGTGGTGCTAGCATAAACCTACCTGAATGTTACATTATACGGGGGACTCTGATGTTTCTCTGTTGAAGCTACAGTCGGTAGAAGTCTGGAAAAGTAAAAAACAAACAAAAACAC